ATAAAAGACTATCCATGTGCACTCCAGCAGATGCATACACAGAAATCAAATTAACTCTATCTGTGGAGAAGACTATGGAAAAGCTCAATATCATCTGTCAGAAAAAGACTAGGGGCCAACTTGAGTTCGACCATCAATTGCTCAGATGCAAATTCAAATAGAAGCTGAAGAAAATTAAAACAAGTCTGAGAGAGCCAAAACACAACCTTGAGTATATCCCAACTGAATTTAGAGATCATCTCAAGAACAGATTGGATGCATTTGACACTAATGACCAAAGACCACACGAGTTGTGGGATGACATCAAGAACATTATATAAGAAGAAAGCAAAAGGTCACCTAAAAGGACAAGAAAGAAAGAAAAACTAAAGTGGATGTCTGAAGAGACCATGAAGTTTGTTCTTCAGTGCACACATGCTAAAGCATATGGGGAAAATGAGGAAATTCAAGAGCTGGATTATAAAACCACAAGAGAAGACCACATCAAAGTGAAAGAACTAAAGAAAAATGTCAAACCTCAAGCTGTAATATTGAAGTACCCTATGGACAAAACATTAAAGATGTAAGAAGCATCAAAAGAACTGGTTGACATTCAGCATTTCAGGAAGTTGCACATGATCAAGAACCTATGGGATTGAAAGAAGAAGTCCAAGCTGCAATGAAGGCTTTGGCAAAAACAAGGTTCCAGGGTTGACAAAATACCAACTGAGATGTATATGGATGTAATGCCAGAAATCATCACTCATCTACAGCAAGAAATTTGGAGGGCAGCTACCTGGCCAACCAACTGGGAGAGAACCCAATAGGTGTCCATTCCAAAAACATATAATACAACAGACTGTGGAAATTAGCAAACAATATCACACACAAGTAAAATTCTGCTGAAGACAATCCAAAAATGGTTGCAGCTGTATATCAACAAGCAACTGCCAGAAATTCAAGCTGGATTCAGAAGAGGATTCGTTGCTGATGATGGATCTTGGCTGAAAGCACAGAATGTCAGAAAGATGTTTACCTTTGTTTAATTGACTATGCAAAGACATTTAACTGTGTGGACCAACATAAATTATGAATAACACTTCAAAGATGGGAATTCTAGAACACTGTGAAGATGAGAATTCTAGAACATTCACTATGCTCATGTGTAGTCTGTACATGTTGTTGTTGCTGTTAGGTGCCATTGAGTCAGTAATGACTCATAGCAACCTTATATACAATAGAACAAAACATTGTCCAGTCCTGGACCAACCTCACAATCATTGCTACACCTGAGCCCATCGTTGCCACCATTGTGCCAATCTATCTCATTGAGAATCTTCCTCTTTTTCTCCGACCCTCCACTTTACCAAACATGGTATCCTTCTCCAGTGACTGGTATGTGTCCCAAGTATAAGAGATGAAGTCTGTCCATTCTGGCTTCCAAGGAACATTCTAGCTGTACTTCTTCAAACACAGATCTGTTTGTTCTTTTGGCAATCCGTGGTACTTTCAATACTTTCCTCCAACACCATAACTCAAATGCATCAATCATTTTATGGTGTTCCTTATTCAATGTTAACTTCCATATGCATATTACACTATTGAAAATATGTTTGCTTGCATCAGGCATCCCTTAGTCCTCAAACTGACATATCTGTTCTTCAACACTATAAGGTCTTGTGCAGCAGATTTTCCTAATGCAATAAATACATCATTTGATTTCTTGACTACTGCTTCAAAGAGTGTTGATGGTTGATCAGAGTAAAATGAAGTTTTTGACAACTTCCATCTTTTCTCCATTTATATGGATGTTGCTTATTGGTGCACTGGTGAGGATGTTTGTTTTCTTTATGTTGAGATGCAACCTATACCACCCAACGGTTACATTTTTGATCTTCTTCAGGTAAGCAGCCTACACATAGACAGGTAGAACAAAGGGATTCTACCTGGTTTAAAGTCAGTAAAGGTGTGTTTCAGAGTTGTACCAGTATCCTTTCACCACCGTATTTAATCCTTACATTGAGCAAATAATCCAAGAAACTGGAATACATGAAGGACACAGCATTAGGATTCAAGGAAAATTCATTAACAACCTGCAATATGCAAATAACACTTTACTAGAAGAAATTGAAAAGGACTTGAAGCACTTACTGATGAAGATCAAAGATTATATATAACCTTCAATATGGATTACACTTCAATATAAAGAAAACAAAAATCTTCATGACAAATGGAAAAAATATTGAAACTGTCAAAGATTTCATTTCACTTGGATCCACAAACAAAGCCCATGAAAGCAGCAGTCATGAAATCAAAAGATATATTGTATTGGAAATATCTGCTTCAAAACAGCCCTCATGAACATGAAAAGATGTCACATTGAAAACTATGGAGCACCTGACCCAAGTTATTCTATTTTCAATCATCTCATACACATGTAAAAAACCCTTATAAAGGTCAAATGAGCCATAATTCATCTGCCTCTCCACTATTATTGCTCTGGTGTGGGGCTGTGAGTTAATGTGCTGGAGTGCAAAGTTGGTTTGAACCCCAAGGTCGGCAGTTCAAGCTCACCAGCTGCTCCTTAGAAACCCTAAACAGTGTCACTATGGGTTGGAACTGATTCAATGGCATCTAAGCATATCTTACAACTATTCTCACTCACTGGCCTCCTGACCTGGCACTGTAGGATCAGTGCTAGACTTTGAACCACAAGGTCAAAAGTTCAAATCCACCAACTGCTCCTCAGAAACTCTATACTGGCTCACTAAGAGAACAGACAGGCACTTAACAGCAGCAGCACTTTCACTCACTAGGTTCCAGTCACATTGGTCTTCTCATTGCTCACTGAACACAAAAGGTATACTCCCCAGTTTGGGTCTTTTTTTGTCTTTCCCTCTGCCTGTTAGCAGTTTTCCTCTAAATATGCTTCAGGGCTTGCTCCCTATACCTCTATGCTTTGCTCAAATACTACTTACTTTCTCAGTGAGGCCTTCCGTAGCCACCCTACTTAAACTATACTTCCCCTTCCATGCTTTGTTTTTCACTACAGTACTTAACACTAACCAACTGATCATGCAATTTGCTTACTTCATTTACATCTCTCTTCATAACCATAAGTTCTTAAGGGGCCAGACTTTCATCTCTTTTGTTCACTGATATATTTTCAATACCTAGAACAGTGCCTAACACACAGCTCTTGTTCCATGCCCTTGCTACTCATAGCAACACTGTATAGGGTTCTGAGGAAGAGTGGCTGGTGGGTTGGAACCACCAACCTTCATTAGCAGACCAGTAAGACATGAAAATATTTAATAAACAAGTAAATTAATAAAAAAATTATATGAAGAACTCTAAAATCCAGTAAGAACTGAATACACGAACTGAAAAATGGGCCAATAATATGGTAAGATAGTTCAAGGAAAATGACATGTAAATGGCTCTTCAACTTCATGAAAAGATGTTCAACTTCACAGATGATAAAAAATGTAATGTTAAAAACAGATTTTTTTCATCTAGTAAATTGACAAAAATACTAAAATATATTAACAATCTCTGTGAGTGAGACTTTAGCCAAACAGATATACACAAAGATTGTTAGTAAGCAGATTACTAATAAGTAAGCCTTATTTAAGGGCGATTGACACTGTATGTTAAAGTTACAAATGCATATACCCTGGATCCAGAAATCCTAGGATTATATCCTACAGATATACTTATAATACATATGGAATGATTATTTACTACAAAATGTTTATAATGGTGAAGACTACAAAACAACTAAGTGCCCATCAGGGAACTGTCAAGAAGTTGGGGTACATACACATTTTGAATTACTTGTAACTGCAGAAAATAATGAGGAAGCCCTCTTTATATGATAAGATCAAATATGTACTAAAGTGAAATAAGCAAAGTACAGAACAATGTGAATAGTATGCTTAGTTTTGTGTATAAAGGAGGTTAAAAACATTAGTTTTTTCTTGTCTCAGTATAAAAAATTTTGGGAAGATACTAAACTGATAATAGGGTTTCTTTGGGAGAAAAATGGATCCTAGGTACATGAGGAACTCGGCATATGTGAGACTGCATTATATACTTTTAGACTTTTGAACTATGTAGCTAGTGTACCTATTCAAATAACTGTATTTAAAAATCAGAAGATTGAACCACAAAAAGAGAGAGGAATAGAAAAAGAGGGGAGCTACTATGCAAACTAATAAGGAAAATAAGCTTTTCTGAAGAAAGCATAAGTTACTTTGGAAAGTATTTTTAAATGAATATGCAGTTATAAAAACATCCAACTAACAACAAAGTTAATGCCCTAAAGATCTTCTGCAGGTTTCTTAGGACTATTTTGAGTTACTATAGTGGTTACAAATTGGGCTGAAGGTCAGCAGTTCGAAACTATCAGCTATTCCACAGGAGAAAGAAGAGCCTTTCTGCTCCCGTAAAGATTTACAGCCTCAGAAACCCTGTACAGAGATGCTATGAGTTGGAACCAACTCCACGGCACATAACAACAACAACAACAACATAAGTATGTATGGCACTATAGTATAAACACTGGACTTCTAACTAAATGGTTGGTAGGTCAAATCCACCAGCCACTCCTTGGAGACCCTATACAGAGTCACTATGAGTCAGAACCAACTTGACAACACTTAATAGCAAATATGTGAAAGTAAAAATTGCCTATTTGAAAATATTTTAGAAGTCACATTTCCTACTAGCATTTCAGATTGGCCTATGTCCCATTTAGTTTAAATGTGCTTTTCCTATGTGGCAAATTCTGTGATACACAAACCTCACAATCTACTAGTAGGATAGTGGAGGGTGTTACAGGTACAAAGAATACAAAGAATGGTGTAACTTTTCTTCCTCTAAATATAACAAAGCAAATTTCTTTAAAGTTTTTAAGCGAATTATTCCAATAAAGAAAAGGAATAAACAAAAACTCCAAAATACTACAACCACCAAGGGCTTTAAGCCATATAAAATAAGCCATTAGAAATGAATCTTACCTTACTTCAGCTGGTGGACTTGGGGAGTAGGGATTTGCAGAGCAAGCCAGAATCCTAATGACGGCTCCAGGATGATAGGTTTCCAGAACATGAACAGCTGTAGGATACACCTGTTGTTCAAAAGTAAGTTCCACATAGTCCTGACTCTGAAAATAAGGTGGTGTCCTCTTGAATGGCAAGGAAGCACTAGGACACTGGTCCCACCATGTTCCATAAGTTCGAAACACAGCTGTCTGAGTAAAGTCACCAGAACTTGGGAATACATTTGGTACACCTGCCAGATTCCACATGGTATAGGACATACTATTCTCACTTCCATAATGAGAACTGAAATCTACTACTTCTTTGGCATACTGGACCACCTCTGCATTGAGAGGGGACGTCCGACTATTTGATTCTATAGTTCTATGGTTGTTCATCATTTCTCCTCTTGCAGCTGTTCTGGCTCGGCGCCGAAGGCATATATAATAAAACATAGTCAGAACTGTTAACATGGGAAAGACTGGTGACATCTAGATGTGAATTATGAAGCTTCGAAAGGTCAGATGTCCTCTGTAAGATGCATGAACTCTTTAAACGATGTTCTAAAAAAATGAATGGTTTGGTGAAGTAAAATAATTTTAAAAAGCAGAAAAATGCATGGATACAGTAATTAACAGGCTTCCCCCCAAATGTAGCGTCCCAAAACAAAACTTTGAGAAAGCAACTTTTAAAGTGAAAATGTAAATCTGTGGTATAAAGTAATTTATCTAAAATATTTCTAAGAAACCCAAATATTATAAATGTATACAATTTTATGCTATATGAGAAACAAAATGAGTATTTAAGGTAATGGAAGATGTATGAGTCAAAAATTTCTCTTCTATTTCATACAAAATTATAACCATCATTTATAAATACTAAATACCTGAACTTTTAAAATTAAAATTATTTAGAATATATGTTGAACTACTAAAATATGCTTTTGGAAATTCAAAAGAATCTTAGGAAATTTCACATTCTAACAAATGATTTCTGGTGTTAATTATTACACTCTTCCAAACAAGCTAAGCATAGATTTTATAATATGGGAATATACTTTTCTAGAGTTGACAGTTAATCTAGACTAACTAAACTATCTTACACTTCACAGATTACCAGACAGTGTTTAATTTATAACTCTCAGCGTTATTTGTTAGGGTAGTCCACGGCTGGCTGGCAACTGGTTTGTTGCCAGCAACTCTCAGAAATCACTCACCCCAGATAGAATGGTCACAGGATACACAGAGGAAATGCACAACTTGGCACTCATCCATGTGGCCTGAAATTTGCATGCTGATTTCAGGTGTAAGTGCTGAAATGTGACATTTCCTTATCTGTAAGACAAGAGTTTCAGAACATATTTTTATTTACAATTTAAGAAACACACAAAAAGATATAACTATGGATAGGCATTTATTAGGCATAGTATTCAAACTGAACAGGTCACATTTTCCTGAATCTTGTGCACAATTTTAGATAATTCATATATTTAAAATTTTTAAAACAAAATATACTAAAAATATAATGATCCTGTCTATATAAAGGTTACAAACCCATAGCTTATATATCAAACTATGTCTGAAGACATACTTATTGGCATCAAACAGTTTTGTTAAATTTGAATTAGCTTGCAACTTTTAACAATCTAGATGAACCTCTGAGAGGAGACTTGGCATAGGACATACTATTTTTCATTTCCAAAATAGGATTGGAAATTTACTAAATCTACTCTCTCATTAGCTGTCATTGTTCCCAGCCATCCCCACTAGTTTATAATACAGACTCAGTCACTGTCCACATTGAATAAGTAATCTCTTGTCTATACAAACAAATCAAGCATATTCTTTTTTTTCTCCCCCCAAGCATATCCATCTGTTAAATCGAGCTTAACCTCTCAGTAAAAGAAGAGAAACACATTAAGAGAAATATGAGAGCTTTCTAATACATTAGAATTAAGATTATAAAACATTATTTGCATTATTTTCCCACTCAGAAATCTCCAATGACTTACTTTAATGGGCAAAAATATAGCCTAATTTCTTGGCTTGGCATTTCAAGACTCTACTCAAACTGGATTCATCACTACTTATCTAACAGGCAACACAATTGCTAATCACCACTCATATTTTATTTTAAATCTCACTTCCTCTATCATTCTTTATCCAACTACATTATTCCACATAAAAATATTTTTCTGACTAATAAGGTTAATTCTGGCAAAAATAAGAAAACCCTACAGGCACTACATTAATTAGTTAATTAAAATTATTTAAAAATTAAAATTATTTTTTAAAAATTAATTTTAAAAAATACATAAATTAATATATTGTGGAGCCTTAGCTCCACAATAATCTCTATTAGGAGCGAGTGCCTTAAAGAAGGGAATCTAGGCAGACATCTTTATTATTTGCATTACTTGGAAGATAACCACTTGACTGCAAATCACAAGGTTGGCAGTTCAAACCCACCAGCTGTACCCCATACAGGATCACTAGGCATCAGAACCATCTCAATGGCACTTAACAACAATAGCTATATAAACCCACTACAATCAAGTTGATTCTGACTCCTAGTCACCCTAGAAACCTTCTCAGGGTTTCCAAAACTGTTAATCTTTACAAAAGCAGACAGCCTCATGTTTATCCCAGTAAGCGGCTGCTGGGTTGGGACAGAAAACCTTGTGGTTAGGAATCGAACATCTAACCAACAGAGCCACCTGAGCTCCTTTTACTAGGTAGGTGTATGTTGTTGCTGTTGGGTACCATTTTCAATCAATCTTTCTCCCGCAGAGAGGCTGATGGGTTTGAACTGCCAACTTTGTGGTTACCAGTCCAGTGCTGATCCTACAGTGCCACCAGCACTCCTTACTAGGTATATGTTGTTGCTGTTCTAAGTGCCATCAATTCAGTTCTGACACATGGCAACCTTTTATAGGGTCTCTCAGGAGCAGCTGATGGGTTTGAACCACTGACCTTGTGGTTTGAACCACAGTCCAGTGCTTCTTGTAGGCATACACTGTTGTTGTGCAGCTAGAATGGAAATAAGTAATCAAATAATTTATCCTAGTCTAGAAACCTTTTAAATTACTTAACATCCCTCCACCTCTCAATCCCAACCAAATTCAAACACGATATGCTTAATAAAATATAATTAGCCAGAATCGAGTCCTGCTGTGGCACAGTAGTATATATTCTGGATCACAAAGTCTATTTGAACCACAAAGTGGCAGTTCAAATCCACCAGCCACTCCTCCTCGGAAACCTTATACAGAGAAGTAACGAGTTGGAACTGACTCAACGGCACTTGAGGCATGTATCATGCATAAAGTGTAGACCTAAGTTCACATTTCCTTCATTCACCCAATCACTTCCCATACCACTTTTTGTTGTTGTTGTTATGTGCCGTGGAGTCAGTTCCGACTCATAGCGACCCTGTACAGGGTTTCCAAGGGTGTAAATCTTTACGGGAGTAGAAAGCCTCATCTTTCTCCCGCAGAGCGGCTGGTAGTTT